TAGACGGAAAGCTCATGACCAGGGCTACCAACTATCCTCACCTATTAGGTGCCATATTGGGGATAAACAAGTGCCCTATGTGCCAAGAAAGGTGTAATTCTTTTGAATCCTTCCCATTTAACAATAAAATAATAACTACATTTCCAAAACAAAAGTGCAATGCTAGAATAAGATAAACCAGTTGAATAATCTTTAGAAACTAGAACATTTTAGTCGAGAAAAAGAAGTACATGCAAAGGATTTCACAAAAATGTATTGAAATGTCACTATTTTTCAAAAGTGCCATTTTGGCAATTTGTGCCAAATTGAAAAATTAAGTGCCATTTGATGTAAAATATATATATTTTTTTAATAATAAAAAGGGCCAGGTGTACGCGGTAGGGTTGGCAAATTATGGATGAGACTATCGACAGTGAATCTACAATAGAATCTATAATGGAAAATGGTCTTCAGAAGGTGGTTAGATTAGTTTTTATGAATTGTTAGAGGTAATGGAAAATGATTTTTATCCGACGAAATGCAAGTGTATGTTTATAATTTGAGGCCTGCGAATAGAGATCAGCATAAGTTCCTTTCACCATCTTTTTTCGGTTTATGTAGATGGTCATACCATCGTTTTAGCAGTATCCATTCTTTCATTTTTGGAAATCATATAGCAATTTTGAAACGGAAGCCCCAGAATGACGGAGTGTGATGTATATTACATCGAGCACATATGTACTTGTATGTTGGGTTTAGAATTTAAACAGTTCGGTTTAAATTTTAAACCCAAACATTTTCTATTTCGTTTGCTTCACGTTACACTTCACGAAGGCTTTTTCATAATTAAGAAAAAAAAATCTTAAATTTCATATCCCGTCTGATGAGGATTGTTCCCACCCTTGTGCAAAATAGAGTCAATTGACATTATTACCTTTTCAAAAGCGAAATAAAATAAATTGACATTATTGCTCTTTCAAACATTAAATTTGTTTAGCTTCGCGGCGGCCCGCGTCCGCGCGCCACACCGCGTACCCCGCGCGACCGACGCGCCACACCACGTCACGCTACGCCTTGGCCCAGAAGTAACATATCAATGATGACAGGTAATAAGTCCCAGATGGTTTTTAAAATCACAAATTAGTTTTTGTGCAAATTGCAGATAGAGGGTATGAATGAATTTAAGCCCCCGATATTCCACATTTTTATATTTGTAAGTTATTGGAAGATTTCTGCTGTGTTTTAGCAACAACTTGTCTGCAGTAAAAAAGCATATAATTTGTCTTTCAAAAGCAGGGTTTCGGGCTTCGAACCGAACCACGAACCGAACCATTTTTATTTTGAAATGCCAAAACCGAACCGAAAACCACTCCAAAAAATGGTTCGGTTCGGTTCAAAATCCACTTAAGCATTTTTCAAGTTTTATAATACACAACTGTGTCAAAAATGCAATCCTATGGTAAAACTGAAATGCCAGCAAAATAAAATTCAAATCCCGGAAAAATTTTCCAAAAATCAACTTAAACTTTGAAAATATTTTCTAGAAATTCCTATTTAAAAGTTTGCAACTTAGATGAAACTTTGAAGAATTTTCACAATTTTTCACAAAATTTTAAACTTTGGACGACGAACTATACTAAAAAAGGTAAACCTTAAATAAACAAAAAAATATAGCCAAAATTGTTAAAATTTCGCGTCCCTATTTATTTTTCCACTACTATAAATGTGGATATTTGAATTTGATCTTAATAAAAAAGCTTTTTATTTTTATATAGATGGATTTATATACTTGTATCCTTGAGATTTAAAAAAATTAAACCATTTGAACCGAACCGCACCGTTTTTTGAAGTGGTTTGCAGCCCTGTTCAAAAGTGTGTTTTAACCGATCAATTATTTATTTATTTATTTAACAATCAGTCTATGAAAGCATAATTTCTTACAGACTATTTAACAATCAAGCTTAAACTAGGGCATCAAATTAAGAATATTGATAAAAATTGACTTAGGTAGAGAAAAATCAAGGTCGATAGTAGTTGAGATCTGGTTAAATTCGCAAATTTTCGAATAAAATTTTCAGCATAAAAAGGCAGGGAAGCACGCAGATACCTCCTCGGTACATTAAAATTTATTCTACCCAAAAGCTGCGGACAGTCACAAGATCCTTGGATAATGCAAAAAATGAAAGTTAGAGACAATGTTGACCTTCTTTTATCTAACGATTTTAGATTGAGCAGCGATAAGCGCGCATTATATGAGGGTATGGGATCAGAAAAGCGTAGTGATCGTAAGGCAAATTTGAGAAACACTATCTGAACGCGTTCAATCCTATTGATATGGAACTGGTGGAACGGACGCCAGATTATTGCTGCATACTCCAGGTGAGAACGTACGAAAGAGGTATATAGCAGTTTTAAAGTGTACAGATCGGAAAATTCAGTGCTATTCCGCCGCACAAAGCCAAGCATAGCATATGCTTTCGATATAATAAAATTAATATGGCTGCTAAATGATAACACCGAGATAACACCGAGGTCCTTGATTTCATTAACTGACTGCAGGCAACACTCAGATAAACTATTTATACCGAGTTATTAATAAATTTCGCGATTTTGAAAATGATACGTAAAAGCATTTGTTAATATTTAATGAAAGATGAGATCTTAAGCACCACAAATAAAAGTTATCCAACTCGGATTGGAGCTTTTTCATGTCAGAAGAATTCTTAACAGTTGAATAAATCTTCAAGTCATCTGCATATAAAGGAAAATTAGCAAAAGAAAAGCAAGAACCGATGTCATTTATAAACAATATAAAAAGCAAGGGACCTAGAACGCTACCTTGTGGAACTCCGGAAGTAGCGAAAAAAGGTTCTGATTGCGCGTTATCCGCAGTTACAATACACCGTCGTCGATACAGGTATGACTTGAGCCATTGCAGATGCAATCAACTTGACATCCTGAAGAAAATGCTGAGATGCAATATTCGCTAAAGACTGCCAGATTTGTAAC